GGAGATGTTCAGGGGGAGCGGACAGTGAAGAGAACAGAGAAACGAAAACAGGTGAGGCAGCTCAAAGAGAGGGCGGCAGACCAGAGTCGTCTCAATCTAAAGGCAGAAACAGAAAGAGAGACCAGATAGGAGACAGAAACGGAGACAGAGCGGGATGGCCAACTCAGGTCTCCAGTTGTTGGGCTATTTTCTGGCGTTGGGCGGCTGGATCGGCATCATCTCTACCACCGCTCTGCCCCAGTGGAAGCAGTCCTCCTATGCCGGGGACGCCATCATCACCGCCGTGGGGCTGTACGAGGGGCTGTGGATGAGCTGCGCCTCGCAGAGTACCGGACAGGTGCAGTGCAAGATCTTTGACTCCATGCTGTCTCTGGATAGTGAGTATATTTCGATTTCAATTTTGTAGCCACGCTCTGATTTGTCCTTACTACGTCACGTTCTAAAACTGTTTTGAATTAAGATTTTTGCCATTTGGAAAAGAAATGTTGATATTTTCGTGAGTTTATTTTTGTATCAGTAATGTTTAATTTGATTGGTTCAATTTTGAAAAAGAATAATTCAAATTCAAGCCAGGCAAAAATCTACTTTTCGTCGCCACGAGCTGCATTTCTATTTCCTTCTGTTGCTCCTTCTCATTAAAACAGCTTTTTTTTTATTTCTGTCTCTGTCAATGTATATTTTAGATTTAATTTCTATACTTTTATAAGCCTGTTCTGTGTGTTTTTTTTTCCTGCTTTGTCTTTCCCATGTTTCCGAAATGTTTTTTTTTGTTGTTGTTGTTCAAATCGTGCAGTTATTGGGAATGGCTCTATCCGCATAACCACACACCAAAGTGATTAATACGCCCTAGATGCAGAAGTTCCCAAGCTGTAAATCTAATTCCGAGTGTTGCAGCTTTAATGAAGTCCTGTCTACGTAATGGGTCAGAAGTGGCAGAGGGTGAGGAATGTGGGGGTTTGGACATAAATTAGCTCAAAAAAACGGACCTCCTGTCATCTTTAATCTGTAAGCAAGACCCTCTTATTCATAATTAATAGCACGCAGATTATATGAATCCATCCATCTGCTGTCTGCTTAAATCATCCAATTAGGGATTCAAATGAAATACTGTGGGGGTGAGGGAGTAGTAGGAGGGCCATGTCCAGAGGCATTTTTTTGAAAAAATAAGTCATCTTTTTTTCTTTGTGGCTATGTTTTCTATTGGAACGCTGCTTTCAAAGAGCAACAAATGGGGGGCACTTTGAAAACATTTAGCCGTCTTTGTCATTCCTTCTATCAACACATTTTCAGTAGCAGTGTGTGTGATGGGTTTCCACACTGATGTCCTCTCTCCTTTGGTCCACGGGAGCAACAAGGACGGCGTATTGTCCTTGCACATGAATAGAGGCTGTTAGGAGAAGAAAAGGCGCAGTGTTGAGCTAAACTCCAGAGATATTCCCAGAATGCAATCTGTCTTCCCCACACGCGCACATTGTTCCATTTGTTCATCAAGACGGCCAACAAACGCAGATTCAGAATAAAGACAAACAGCTCAGAGAAACCTTTCCAAACCCCCCCAGCTACGTGCGTCTTTAGATCATTGCAAAGCATTCCAGATCTTTCTCAGGTTGAAGGGCGGGGTCTCCCATACGGCGTTGAGTTAAACTTTGATCCAGTGGTCAAACTTCTGGAAGGGGCTCATTCCCCACAGCGGGGGAAGCATGTGATGGTGGGTGTAATTGTTCACCAGACTATGCTTGCTCTGCTCAAGCAGCCAAGCGAATGTAGAGAATGATGCTGCTGTCTAACTGCAGGTCCTTCTCCAGAAAAAAAAACACAGTGAGGACCACTGTCATGTGTCCCAGCAGGAGGTAGTGGACAGTGGTGCTGAAAGGACAGCTCTTTGCATTCAGAGCCTCCAGAGTACTTATGAACAAACACAACAGATAAAGGTGTCTCAGAAAATGAGTTATCCTACTGAATGACTTAGTTCTTATATCAAAAGTGAAAGACATGCTGTCAAAAAAGTCCAGAACCAACAATGCTACACTCTCCTAAGCATTATATGACTTTGCAAGAAGTCCTAGAAGTTGTAAAGTCATATAGGCTGCTGTAAATACACAATGTTCTATACATCAGGAAGAAGGTTAATGTTAGACTTTGTCATTCATATTGAATATTGAATATATATGATTTAGTTTTTGGGTAGATTTTATTAAGGAGTTAGGGTGGGGTTAGGGTTTTATATATATATATATATACAGTGGGGGAAATAAGTATTTGACCCCTTGCTGATTTTGCAGGTTTGCCCACTTACAAAGAATGCTTATTTTTCCTCATCAGATGGTTATCAATTTTTTAAAATTCATATGATGTGATTTTCTGGAATTTTCTTTGGGATTCTGTCTTTCACTGTTAGAATGTACATATGATTAAAGTTATAGATCGTTGCATTCTTTGTAAGTGGGCAAACCGGCAAAATCAACAAGGGGTCAAATACTTATTTCCCCCACTGTATATATATATATAGACTTTGTTAGATCGAATAACTCTAAGTTTGTGTCTTCTAATACGATTAAAAGATGCACAGTATCATGTAAAATGAAAACCATGAAGTGTATCTTTGATGGTTTTGTCGCTCAATCAGGACAGCTTGAAACAAATCAAATTTGTAACACGATAAATACTCTAAAAGAATAAAGTAAGGTAATGTGAGGCTTGATATTCCCCTTTGGTAATAAAGGCAGCTGTCGCAGATATTGATGCTGACAGTTTCTCCTCGGCCCTTTAGTTGAAATACGAGCCTGCATTCTTGGAAAGAGCTAACCAAAGGGAAACTGGAGTGGGAAAGCTATTTCTTTGCGGCTAAATAAAGTATGCGCTTTGAGTTTGAGATGAAACTGGACTAGGAAAACAATAAGATTTAGTAGCAGATGTGTCAAATGTGAATGTAGTGCCCGGGTGGGTGTAGTAGAAAGAGATTTGACATAGAGAACAGTCAGAAATTACCTCACAATGGGACCTTACAGTGCCTTAACCAGCAAGCACACACACTTATTGACAGCTCGTGGCTGGCACTGCTTCTCTTTGCACAAGAAAGAGAGGGCCTGGAGGGTGAGTCGGCCTCATGTCACCCCCCACCCTCCTCTCTGCCTAGAACTTCTCTTTCAAGCCTTCATTACAAACTGAAACTGGTGTCATTTAGCCTAAACCCCTGCATGACCTCAGAAGAAAAGACGGATGCTCAGTGGATGAAAAAGAAAAATCAAACCTCTCTCTCTTTTGAAGACATTCAGACGCTCATCAAAAGGGGCTCTGAAGCAATAAACCAGACTTCAAAGATCATTCACTCTCAGTTTGCCATCAATAATCTGTTCAGATCAGCTTCTAAAATACTGCTTCCGTGCTTCAGTCCTGAATCATGTGTGTGTATTTCTCTTACAGTGATAAATGATGACTTTGGCTTTCGGCTCAGGCTGTTGCTCAAAAGCTCCTTTTGATATTTATTCTATTTTTCTTTAGCCATATCTAATTCTAATACAACACATTTAATACATTTCAGTAAAGTCAGTTTAAAGCAAACCAAGACTTGGAAACTATTTATTCAGAAAACGCGAACTTTCTTTTAGAATAACGAACAAGGTCTAAATGAGAGTTACTTCCCATCTCCAAATTAATTAACAAATTATCAAAGACTTCTTAAAACTTTTCTTTCAGTTCCATTAGTGTTGGATTTTTATAATTTGAATCTAATCGTTCTCCTATGACATCAAGCACAGGCTCACCTTGCTAACATCATTTCCACCTCTCGTGCTGTAAATAGCACTCTTTCCTGACTCTTTACAGGATTCTAAGAGCCCGGCTTTGCTCTGAGTCCTCACATGTGTGTTCTGCAGAGGGACAGGCAGTAAAGCCTGACCGCTGTGGAGACGGCCCCCTGAAAACAAGCTTGCTTTGTGACAAAGCCACACTAATTTCCCTGTGTGAAACATGTAAAGCGGGACCTCCTACGGCCGCTCTGAGATGGGGAGGGTCTCGTCTGTATGCGATCCACCTACAGCCATTGTGAACGTACAGATTTAATGCACTGGCTCATGCGTATGCATGAGCGTGTGCGTGATGATGTGTAAATATGTTCCGCCTACTATTGTGTGGGCAGAGCATTAGATTTTTGAGAAGGCTAAACCACACTGGAATGGTTTGGAGATGATTTGGGGGATCGTTCAGGGTTCCAGAGCTTGACTTAGAAAGGGTCATTTGGAAATAAAAAAAAAAAAAAGCAAAACTGGTATTTACACCAATCTGGAAAGTGGGACAGTGGTGGACTCTCCCTTGTGAGCTATCTTAAATTCATGTGGTTTCCCATCAGTCATCGACGTTTGTGATTTAATGTCCAGAAATGTTGTTTTTTTTGTTGTTATTTCAGCCGATAGATTGAAGACTATTTGTTTTTTCTCGTCTCCTCCCCGCTGTTGCTGTAATGTAACGGATTGTGTCGTATCGTTTGCCATCCTGTGCTCCCTGCCCCTTCCTTTCCTCGTCTTTATCTAGTCCACATCCAAACATGCCGGGCGCTCATGGTGGTGTCGGTGTTGCTGGGATTTATCGCCATCATCGTTAGCGTGGTGGGTATGAAGTGCACCAAAGTCGGAGATAACAACCCATCAACCAAAACCCGCATTGCTGTGACCGGAGGAGTCCTCTTCCTCCTGGCAGGTTTGAATGACGCTAGTTCTAATATTATTTTTTTTGTTTTGCATCATTTGAATGCGGAAATATATGCAGGGTCTCCCATAATTGTTGCATTCGGCACGAGTGGTCTGGCGTTTTTTCCCGGAATGAATCTTGGGGAAAGGGAAAATTAAAGTCCCTGCTGTAAACAGGAAGAGGTCATTTTAGCTGCTGACCTCAAGATGTAAACCATAAACCCTGAAGAGAAGATGAGCTGAACGAAGACACCCACTACATCGTATCTGTACACTGGACATTTGCAGATCTGATGAATGTGTGTAACTGGAGTGTGTGTTTCTCGCTCCACAGGGCTGTGTACTGTAGTGTCTGTGTCCTGGTATGCCACGCAAGTGTCCTACCAGTTCTTCAACCCAAACACACCACCCAACGCCAGGTATGCTAGTCATCTCCGTCTGGATTCTTTCCTTTGTTGTCTCCTGTTTGTACTTAACCAAGGTGCTAACCCTCAGTTACCCCGATGATTTGAGCTAATCAAACCCGGATACACAGAACAGTATTTTATTTCTGAGAAGTAGCAGAGAAATCTGCGGAGAAGGAAACCAAAAATGACTCAACCTGGAGACCTTTGACATTTGGTCGTGTCTCTATTCAGGCTTGGCTTGTAGTTTACCAGAAGGAACAGAGAAAAAGTGTTGTGCAAACTGCTGTCCTGGACAAGAGTTAGTAATCTAACCACCTGTCAGCGTGCTTTTCACAGCTGTCGGGGTGTTTTTATGCTTCCTTTTAGCTGATACAGCGGACCGTAAGCTATTGATCACTCTCAGTTTTCCCTCACAATCAGTTTTGCCATGTAGGTACTTTTTTTAAAACAAAAAGCTCTGTGAGTAATGATAATTTGTAATGATTTTTTCCTGGAATTCCTGTGTGACATTAAACCCATTTACATGATAGTAAGATTAAAAAAAAAAAGAATACTGTGTTAGTCTGACCAATACAGGATTTTTAAAATTAATTAGTCGCTCATCTTTAAAATTCAAGTTGCTTGAACCAAAATCTGATGAGATCAAGCGTTTGAATACTGAACGGACACAACCAGATAATGGCATTAGGGATCAAATTGCCCTTGTGTGAACATGCTCATCTAACTCAAATTTCAAAAGACCTCCAATTACTTGAGGACTTCACCTGTATAACTGACATGGTTTACTCTTTCATTTCTTAACAATTATGCTGTTGTCTTGCAGCTTTTGTTATAAGTAGTTCATTATTTTTGGAAATGGCCAAGGTTGACTGTCAACATCAATGTTTCCTGATGAAGTGGCAACTAATAGCAAAGAGCTAGTTGATCAAATGGCCAATTTTCTTTGTTTTGAAGTGCAATGAGCAGGTAAAAAACCACAGTGACAGTAGGAAAAGCTAGCAAGAGGTATTCCAAAGGTCCTATCCGTCGTAAGCGACGATGCGATTAAGTGTTTTTTTTTAATAGTTCATTTAATACACAAGATCAATTAAAAGGAAATATTTTCTATCAATCAGTGTGATGAAAAAAGTATGCTAAGTAAGCAAAGTATGTTAATGATTGCTTTTTAGGGGCACTGCTCAAATGTCTTTTTCTAAAGCTATGTCATATTGAATATTTTCAATTGGTGAGCACCTTTACATCAAATGTTTATAATACAGTGGGGGAAATAAGTATTTGACCCCTTGCTCATTTTGCCGGTTTGCCCACTTTCAAAGAATGCAACGATCTATAACTTTAATCAGATGTACATTCTAACAGTGAAAGACAGAATCCCAAAGAAAATTCCAGAAAATCACATCGTATGAATTTATAAAAAAATTGATAACCATCTGATGAGGAAAAATACGCATTCTTTGTAAGTGGGCGAACCTGCAAAATCAGCAAGGGGCTCAAATACTTATTTCCCCCAGTGTATGTTTTTAGCGCACAAGGTTCTTTGCAAATTGTACTTTATCAATCAAGTTGGAAAGTTATTTTTGGGCATTAAAAAGTGTGTGAGTTCATTCAATTTCATGATCTCTTAACCTCTCTTTACAATTAAACAAAAAACAGTTTACTCAAAGCTGCAAAAGGTTTGATGGAGTCGAGACTTTGCCCCTCCCCTGTGTGTGTGTCCTGCTCAGGTACGAGTTCGGCTCGGCGCTGTTCGTGGGCTGGGCGGCGGCCTGCCTGACGGTGCTGGGGGGGTCCCTGCTGTGCTGCTCCTGCTCCAAAGACGACATGCGAGGGCAGCAGTATTACCGCCAATCACAGCCCTCCACAGCCAGGGAGTACGTGTAAACCCCGCCCCCCTCCACCAGCCTCCAAACAGAGAGCAGAGGACAAGCTTACCACCCCATCACCCTTAATGTGTAACAAATGATATAGACTAAAACAAAACAGGACTATTACACACTCCTTCACACAACACATAAAATCCGGTGTCCCTGTTATTACATTCATCTACAGCAGAATGCATCTTTCGGATGAAAAGAGTTGTAACTTTTAGTCTTTATGAGCATTTTTTTTATCTCAGTCACTGATAAAATGATGCAATTTTAAACCTAAGCACCATTATTTTAAAATGTATAAGTCCAGATATAGTCCAGATAAGAAAACTAAGTGTATGTTTATGGTAAACTAAATAGAAAATGAGTCCAGATATAGTCCAGATAAGAAAACTAAGTGTATGTTTTGAGACCCTGCGTCCTCATAAGAGGACATAGCATTTTTGCCTCTCTTTACCATGATACTTCTTTTTTCTTTCAACTTTGACCTCTTGGCCTCATAGCAGACGCTATCAGACACTCTAAAGTAAAATGGGTGCTATACATTTTCAACCAATAATGTTCTTATTGCGTAATTACAAAATTGTTAATAAGTAATTTGGACTGTCAGAACAAAATTCCAACAACATTTAATTAGATACATAAACTAGCATTTTAAATATAAAGATAAACCCACTGAGCCTATACGAAGCACAACTACCTGTACCATGACAAATTTTAGTTATTAAACTTAGTAGGTTGTACTAATCCCATATATCTTTAAAAAAGCAAAAATGCACACCAATTAAAATCTGGGGTCTCAGGAGGTTAAACTAAACAGAAAATGAAAAAACCACCACCAAAAAAACCAAACAAACACTGAACTTTTACTAGCATGTCCTGTGCTTCCTGGTTGGAGCTGCGTTGGTGTTTTCGGACTCCATGTTGCTTTGTGTATCTTGTGCTCCACCGGTGCAGTAAGGTTGTGTAACATTACCTGTCTGAACAACGGTGCAACAAAAAAAAAATCTATTTCTTGTTGTTTTTAGGGGTTAGCAGATACAATACCTGTGCATGGTAGTTCCAAAAATGCAGCTTTAAAGCATTTTCATTTGGTTTTAAATGTTGCATCTCACATCCAGGACTGTGAGTCCGGCTTTAAGTGCAGAGGCAGGCTTCAGAAAGCCTTTTTGGGATTATTACCACACATGACCACAATCATTTGATAAGAGCTGCACATGGAGACACAATCTGTAGTGCAGAAACTGAGGTGAACTGTAAAATGTGTCTGCAAAGCCTCATTGTATGCATGTTGTTGAATATTGCTTCACCATTACGCTCCACACTCAAGCATAGGAAACTTCACTTTGACCCTTTCAGTTGTGTTCCATTTACTAACACTATCATTGTTCCAAATTTACCCTCACTGACAGTCAGAAATATACTTCATAAACCTTTGTACAACCAAACCAATGTCTACAATGCAAGCTGTTTTTAAAAACTTTTGATAATAGCAGTATTTTATTGTTGGGAAGAATAATTTGTACTGTAAGGTACAACAGTATTAACCTTAATATAACCATGAGCTAATAGGAAGCTTGAGATATAGTTGTGAATGAAAAAAAACAAGATTTACAACTGCAGATTTAGTTTAATTTGCATAAAATGATAACAAACGTTTAGCAAACTATTGACTTATCTTTACATATGAAAGAGAATAGATATTTGCATGTAAAGCTAAACTGTTGGGCAGAATTGGCTCTTGAGTTTCCCCCTGATGGCCCCCCACATCATTTTGCTCCATTTGTGTTTCCAAAAGAGCAAGTCCCTCATTGTTTCCGATGATGAAGCTATTTAACTTTTCCTGAATAGGTCCCACTTGGCCCAATTTGTCCTTTCTACTGCATTTCTTCTCAGGGAACGCTTGTCTGTGGAGTGCCCTTTTATTCTCAGACCAGTTAAGTTGTAATTATATAGAAAATACCTTCCACCCTTCGATTAAAAGGGCACGTCAAGAGAAGAGGTCTATCGGTAAAAGAATCATTCTGAGTAGGGAATTCTCAGCAACATTCAGACAGAGGGACTGTTTCTCTCCCAAACTTTAAGCCAGGTTCATGTAGCTGTTTACTTACATACAGGACTGTCTCAGAAAATTAGAATATTGTGATAAAGTTCTTTATGTTCTGTAATGCAATTAAAAACCATGAAATGTCATACATTCTGGATTCATTACAAATCAACGGAAATATCGCAAGCCTTTTATTGTTTTAATATCGCTGATTATGGCGTACAGCTGAAGAAACCCAAATATCCTATCTCAAAATATTAGAATATCGGATTTTTGAGTTTTCTTCAGCTGTACGCCATAATCAGCGATATTAAAACAATAAAAGGATTGCGATATTTCAGTTCATTTGTAATGAATCCAGAATGTATGACATTTCATGATTTTTAATAGCATTACAGAAAATAAAGAACTTTAACACAATATTCTAAATTTCTGAGACAGTCCTGTATAGGGCACTGTTGGTCTTAGAATGGAATCTTAACATAGTGGATCTTTTTCACTCATATGTGAGGAACCTCATCAGGACTAATCTTCAGAAACTACTGACAGCTATCTAACCTGTAGACTCTCAGTGCTTCTGGTCATTTTGAGCTAACATCTTAAACGTCCACTGGTTGTACAGCAGTGGGAGATCTCCGAGGTCTTGATGTGTTGATTATTTCCCCTTCTGCCGTCTTACCCTGTTCTTCTCTGGCTGTCTTCTTCTTTCCTCTAATTCAGGGCAGAGTTGTTGAGTGAAACTAGTTTCCCTGACTGATCCGCTTCCACCTTTATGTCGAGGACTGTCCGACTGTCCAACTACTGAATTCCCACTTTTTTTCCCCCCCAGTTAGCTCCTTGATTCCAGATTTGAGCATCTTGTGATCTGCTCTTTTTTTCAATACTACGTGTGTTCTTTATGAGTTTTATTGAGGACCTGGATGTACTTTCCTTTGACATTTTTCCCAACTGCCTGAGCCTATTCTGTAAATATGGACTTTACAAGGATGTTATCAGAGCTTTTTCTTTAAGAAATGAGAGCCCATGTGTTCAATTATTGGCTGAGATTTAACAATGAAGTGGTACAAGTTGTGGTTTTGTTTCGTTTCACTCATACCCTATGACCTGTGAGTGTTGTTAAATGTGTCTTTTTTGGGTTTTGATTTGATCTCTGTGACTGTACTGACTGAAATATGTCTTTTTTTCCCTTCTGAATTTCAGACCAAATGTTAAAAGTACCCCACCAGAGAAAAGGGAGCAGTACTTGTAGTTTTGGAGAGTCTTCAGGCCTTACCATGGTTTAGATTCTGTCAACAGGCAAAAGCCTCTCACTGAGGAATTCAAAACAGACAAGAATGAATTTCTGAATTGCTTGAAAGGTTGTTTTTTTTTTCAAGCAATTTGCATCAACACTTTTTTTTTTTACCTTTAAAAAAGGTTTGTGGTGGTTTTATAAGTTAGACATTTTAGAGGGGTTGAGAGATGATATCCCGTGTTGTTGCCCTTGGGAGAGATAGTTATTCAGGGTATTTTTTCTATAACATGTTAAAATACTTGGGTGTATATACCACCTACTCTATTCTTTTTTATCTACTACATCTATAATGTTTTACTACAGTGCCTTATAACACATGTTTTGTGCACATGTATGTATTTGACAACATGGACTCTTCCAGTCTCACATCCCATCACCGGGATGAGTGTCCAGAGCTTTTCTGCTAGTAGCTCTGTGTTCCGTTTGTACTGTTGGCTTTCTGAAAAACAAATGTGAAGCTACTCTGCAATACCACTCATGAAATGACAAACATATACACAGACACCATAGATCCTAAATAGAATTGTGCGCCCGTTAGCCTTAATAAGGATATACCAATTGTACTATTTTATTTCCAGGCGCCAATATGATATTGTATGAATGACAGTCGTATTTGTGACTCTAAAGAAAGTATTGTTGTACGTGTTGCCTTCTGTACTAAAGAACACCAATTTGCCGAGTGCTGAAATTCCCATCTGATGCCTGCGTTTATTTACCATGCCCTTCCTTTGTCTAATATTTACCTCCTCCTTTTTGTGTATCATCTCATTTACAGTATATCCATGCCTGTTTCTTTTGGAATGAAGTAAACAGAGACATAAAAAAAAAGGATTTGGCTCTGACTCAGTGCTTTGACCGCGGTTTTCTAACTTTTCCCCCTTGTCTGAATACTTGCCCTCTCTCCCCGCTTTTTTTTTCTCCTTTCCAGCTCGATCCCTCTCTTGCACCCTGTTGTTTGGTAATTGCAGAT